AGATTAACGTAGTCATGTGGAAATACTTTGTTTTCAAATAAACTTAATGCTCGTTCAAAGTATTCTCTGGATAGAAAGAAATTCTTTTGTACTTTCTCTAATAACCTGCCAATTTGGAGACAACAAAGGAGACGTTTAAATATCAGGTGCTCATTTGTTGCTCTCATCTAGATAGCCTGCACTGGTACACACATTGCATAGGAAAAATATTATAGGCATTACTTTTCAGATACTGTCAAAAATAATTTGATTGTTTTAACTAAACAATATTTCCGTTTATTATAAGGATTTTAAAAACTCTTTATTAGTTTTAGATCTGAATTACAGTTCAAATATGATATGACGTGTCCCATTTATAGGCTGTTTATCTAATGTGAATGAACTCGGAAAAAAATTTAATGTCAAATTATTTGCAGATGTGTCTGTAGTAGTTTTATGGTGTACCCATCCTCCCCATAATAGAAGACCATCTCCTAATAGAAGACCACTGGCGATTATTTGACTTGAAAGCCAAATAGAAGAACATGGTCTTCTATTAAGTCCGCCAAAAAAAATCGGAAATGCCTACCTATAGCCTATAGAGCAATTTTCAAAAGAATTTTGCCCAAAGGTCCTTCTAATAGGGGATGGACTTCCCGTACGTGAGGGTTACCGCTGGACTACTAGCAGGCGACAAAATTTGACCGCAATAGAAGACCATCCTTTAGAACTCGACATGCTGGACCAAATAGAAGACCAGGTGGGCTTCTATTATGGGGGGATTTAGTCAAAAATAATGATACAGAGAGATTCGAGTGCTTAATTTACTACTTACATACGTGAGATTACTTGGGCAAGCTCTTGGCAAAGTACTTAACAAGAAGTACTTGATTTTCTTGGCAAGTACTTAGTTTACTTGCAAGAAAACGTAAGAACATTGGACAAAGCTTGCGAGGATACTTGAACAAGCACTTACATTCAAGTATGTCGACTAGAGTCAGCATCACACTTATCCAACACTCTGATGTTCTTGTTTAAAAGTGAAACTAAGTTGCCAGCCTACTAGCGTACAAGGATGCGTTTTAAAAGAGTTTGCAAACGATAATAGTAGAAGGATAACATAACTTCAGTCACGATCGAACAAATGTAGTTGTAGCCGGCAAGAGCCTGGATTTACTTTGCCACCGTCTCCGAATAACTTTTAGATCAAGAAGTAATGCATAACCGAATAGAGTTGGAGAAATGTGTAAAATGAGTTGGAGAAACTAGAGTTCGAAAAGAAACAAAGAATTCTCCTACTGCTTACCTGTGACATAAAAAGCAGTAACCTTATCTAACTAACAGCTGACTTTTCTCACCCACTATGATCTTTTTGTGGAACATTTATTTTTCTGCCGAGACAGCTCGATCAGGACGGACAACAAGTTTTCTTTAGAAAGGATTTTTTTTATAAATCTTCTGATAAGATTATATAAACTATAACGTCAGAAATAATTTACTGCTCTACCAGTATCTAAATATCTATTTTACAACATACTTTTGTCTGTCTTCTTTTTATATTTTTCGGATACTGGTTTGCTATTTTAGCATAAGGTAATATGTGAATAGTTTTAAACTGCAACGAATATTGGAAATGTTCGATCTTCCATTTCTAATACAATTTTATAATGTTTTAACGCTTCGTCGTATTGTTTCATTTCATCAAAAATCAAACCAATGCAATAGTTACACGTAGCCACATTAAAATCATCATCTTTCATTATTGATAATGCATTCTTATAATGATCATAAGATTGTAAATATTTATCTAGTTTATAATTAATATAACCAAGACCACGTAAGGGCCATAAAGAATCATGTATACGATTATCATTCAATAACATTTCATAGGACAATGTAAAATATAATAATACGTTCTCGTAGATCTCTTTATCAGATGCACCATTGATTTGATTAAACAATTTTACACCAATACAGTAATAATTCATTGGTTCATCATCGGCTTCAACATAGGTTGATTTATGTAACATATAATGATCAAATAATCGAAAACGATTACAGAGATTAAGAAGCCGAATAATAGTATCAAATACATTAACATCAAATGCAACATCAAATTTCATTGCAAATCCTGTAGCATCATATGATTGTCGTAATTTGATATTATTAGTTATACATTCTTCACCTTTGTCATCAACAATACTCAATTTAATTTTTAAATATGGAATATTATTTTCTGATTCTTTTTGAACATCTTCGACTTTAAATGTTGCATTTAAATCAAATAAATATTCATCTTCTTCACCTATTTCACTGGATAAATGTATATCAGCTACAGTAACTTTAGATGATAATATTGACTTTAAATTGATATTTATTTCAAACAAAATAGATTGATGATTCGAGGCTGACAGTTGTTGCCCTACAGCACCAAACATTTTGGCTACGTTTATTGATGATGTTGTTGAAAAATAACCATTTGTTGTTATTATTTTTCTAATACTTTTTTCATATTGTTCTGCAATGTTTATACCGCATTGTCCACGATACAAAGTGAATTGATCTGTGTCATTGTTACCTATTAATTTAGATAATTCTTGATGTTTTGTTCTTAAACACTTTGATAGATCACGTATATGAAAACGCATCATGTATAATAAATCGAGATTTTGTGTTCGAAGGGCTTTGTTAATGAGTCTATAAACGAATGAGTCTTTTGTATACCATTGAATGGCTTTATCCGACGTATAATGTTGTTCATATTCATTAATTTGTTTTATTTGGCTAGCTATGATGTTTTCATTCACTGCTAAAATAAGACAATAAGAATTCAAATAGACAATAATATTCAAAACCAAAGAAGTTTGAAAAAACATACGTATAATATCTGATACTCTGTTAATATTTTCATAATATTTTCTACATGTCATAATCATATCTGATTTAGCTTCTTCATTATCTTCTATATTTTTAGTATCCATTAATATGCTTTTAAACATTTCATAACATTGATAATGAAATGATTGATTGATAATAACACGTAGAGATAATTCAACCATCTCTGCCATTCAAAAACCTCCATTATTTTGCATCCTATCAAAATATTGATCAATTTTATATTCAAGTACATCAAGTAAGTCATTTTGATTATTACAAATATGTATACCCATTGGATAACTTTCATTTTTTTTATTGACTGATGTTAAAACTAATACAAGGTCTATTTGTTTAGTACTATTTTTCATTTCTTCAGCAACAAAATTTTCTTGGATAAATGCAAGCAAGTCATTATCACATTCGCCATTGATGATAAGCAATATATGTTCAGTTTGACCTGTTTGAATATAATCAATAAGTTGTTGTGAATCATTATAAAATAGAAGATAATTATTTAATCTTTGTAATGTTTGTTTTAATTGTTGCCATTCATTGTTTTCTAGCATAACCAAGCCTTTTTCAAACCATATTAATGTTAATTCTTGTTTATATCGTATTTTATCATCAGGTTTGACATTTAATACATCAGCACATTGATGTGGAAACAAAAGTGCTTCTTCTGGGTTAAAGTGAGGATCACCATTCGTAAATTTGATAGTGGCTCTGGATTCTAGATCCGCAATATCCATCGAAGTAATTTTAAACGCACCAATCTTTGAAGAGTATTCACTTTCCTAAGGTATTCAAAAAGCAAATAACATAACAGAATTTCTATTCAACTTATCGAAAACGTTTCTTTTATTTTATCCAAACACAAAAATATGCAGTACAGAAATAAACTTCACTAATTTACAGAGACATGTGAAAACATAATTCTTTTTAAAAGCTTCATTTTCATCAGTTTTTTGTATGACTGCCAAAAACAAAACAAACAACATTTTTTCGATTTATTCACTTTATAGACGAAGTAAGAAAGAAATATGTATGCAGCAAAACATCGACTTCTTTTTGTAAATGTTCCTAATATTGATATTATTTGATGAAATGTAGTTGAATAATGAGATAATAAGACAAACAAGTTCATCAATCATTTTATTTTTTTATTTTTTTTTGTTTGTTGTTTTGTTTTTAATGTTTAAAAATAAACTAGAAAAGAAAAGAAAAAGAAAACAACTATTTTTTCATGTATATATATATATGTAATCTCTTTCTTAAAAATTTAGTGTTGAAATCCTATGAAAGGAGTCGAAAGCTTCACTGTATTGTTTTTTAGGAAAAAAAATAAAAAAATAAAATGATTGATGAACTTGTTTGTCTTATTATGTAAATGTTCTATTATGTGTTTTTCTCTTTCAGGCGGTAAGTTACAGCGGCTATGGATGGATTGTTCGTTTGAAAATTTAATGTGATCCATTGTTTCTTGAATAACTTAAGAACGTCCCCAGCTAGTGACCTGCGAATTTTACTAATAAATGAAACGCTTCAGAAGACGTAAATATATGAAAGAATCAAGAACCCATCATACCTTCAACCTGGTACATTTTTAAATCTTTCAAATATTAGGCTGCAACACTTTAATGATTTTTTAACTGTTATACCACATATTCCAAAACAATTTGGTTTTGGAATATATTGGCTTAGAAAAAGCTTCTGTGTAATATCTAGACAGAAAATAAATAGAGTGAAGCCCGCAAAGACTATCCGCATACTTGAATTTAATTCTCAAAGTGTTTTATGCTTATTCAGAAAAAAAGAAAAGAAAAAAGTTACAAATTCTTTAAATAAAACAAAGGAGAAAAATAACAGACTCTCGATTGTACTTCTTTATCCTAGATAAAGAAACACAACTTCGTCCTTCGAAATTACTGCCAACAGCATTTGGCAGGGCTAAAATCGGTCCGACATCAACCAACTAGTCAATACTGTCAGTAGATGCGCCTTGACCACATCTACCTAACTATGTATTATTTTTGGAAAAAAGGTTGTAGTAGTAGAAGTTAGTGAAAAATGTCAAATACTGCCAAAAATGATGTATTGAACCTAGCTTAATACAGTTAATGAAAGTTCGAATAAAGGTAAAATTAGCTCCTTACGTATAGTATGACATGTCCTATCTGGATATGCAACTTGTAGCAGAGAATGGTGTTATATTTTATAATGGAATTGCTAATGTCTGACTCAGACGGTTGCGTAAAGTGCGTATTAATTGTTTCAAGGCAGAAGACTCAAGGTGAGCAGAAAAATCTAAAACTATGGGTGAATTTTGTGGAGAATGTTGAACATAATTAAATATAAAAACCTTGGATATGAGCTAGTTTTAATTTTCATAAAAACTCAACATCACCTGTTGATGAATCACCCAGCTGGGCAAGGCATTCTCATTTCTAAATTAAGCGAATAAATTTTAATTCCGGTCTTTATTTTCACTTTCTAGGTAATTTTATAAGGATTCGAATGGTCTACGAGTTGTTTATAAAAATCATAATCTAGGATGAAAACTCAAGACGCATTGCGTCGAGATATACGCCATTTTATCTGCTTAGCCGTATTTTGTACAAATGTTAAAGTTGTTAAAAAGTGTACAAGATTAGGTTTAAACTATGATGTCATCTCAACTTGGTTGGTTTCATAAAAGATTGGAAAAGCAGCAAATATTTCCTTTTTTGTTTTCAATTGAGATTTTATATCAGATCAGACGTTTTATTAGAAGTGGATCAACATCAATAAGTACTGCTGATAAATTATATTTGCCAGTATATGTGCTGCATAAAATAGTTCTAATGCGTGCGTATTTGAATTAATCTAGAATAATATGAATGTAATCGAGAACATTTGCTTCATTTGGTGCTGATCGTAAGTTTGACGGTGAATAACCTGAACATCCAAGTAGTCGCCAATTTTTTGGTCATTGGAGACGATTCACTAAAACAAAGAGGATGCCTTCATAACGTTTCACCACGAGAATAATATCGATCTGGTTACAGACCAGCTCTTGACAAGTGTCTCTCTTGGATATGTCCACGACCAATCTTCCAAAATCGAAAGCCCAAGGGTGTTTTGAAATTTCGAAGTCTCATTTATGACTAAATTTAAATTAATCGCCAGGTCATTAAATTTATATTCGTTAAACTGTATGTTGGCGTTAGCACTGCCCATTTGTAGTAGCATTCACTGACGTTTTTTTTTTTTTTTATTTAAATTATATATTAACGACAACATGTGCTCAGCTTTTTTTTTTTACATACAAGCGAAGAGCTTGGTCTTGCGTTATAAATAAACTTTCCAATATTTAAACATAGCAATAAAATGTGGGTAAATCGGGGCAAGCCCCATTGTATGCCCATGAGAGAGAGAGAAAAAAAAAGGCAGATTAATCAAAAAAAAATCTATTGAGAAAACAGAATGAGTCTTCATTAAAGAAATATCGTATGTGTGTATCATAGATGACGAAAGGGAGAGATGTAGCTTAGGAGTAAATACATTGATCCATGTGTGCCAGTGAGATAAGAGAAGATAGCAATAATAGGGCCTTAAGGCATAAACCGCCCCGTACGTTTGATAAAGCGCAGTATTACTAAAAAGACTGCAATTAATTGCTCAACTGGTAGCTGTCTAATTGTAACATCTCTTAAAAGCAGCTGATCAAGGTGAATTATATCACAATTCAACAGCACTTTGAGTTTTTCGAAAAGCTCGTTCCTCTGCTGGTCGTAATGTAAGCAGAGTAAAAAATAGTGAGTGGTGCTTTCCTTTTCTCCACAAGAACAAAGTGGTGATAGGACGAGTTTACGGTGATATAAAGGCTCATTCAGCTGAGGAAAATCAACCCGAAGACGGAGATGGTGAATTTCAAGTCGACGCTCAGAGACTAGTGGTAGTTTCAACGCAGAAATAAAGCTAGCCGT